TCTGCGGACCCTTCCCCCTCTATTTCTCCCTCTATTTCTCTCTCTCTAGTGTTCTGCTTTTATAAAAAAATAAGAAGGAGGAGGCCCTTTTTTTTTTTTTCTTTCAAAGAGGCCACTCAAAATGGCTGCTCTGTACATCTTTTCTGACAGTCGGGCTATTTTTTAAGATGGCCGCCGACAATTTTTTTTTTTTTTTTAAATCAGAAATAGATACATCTTAGCAGTGTTTTTCATGCTTTTTTTTCTTTAAAAAAAAAAATAATAAAATAAATACAAAATTTCAACAATGAATCAATGGAACGTTTATGCATTAGTCCTCCTTACTACTGGAATTGACCCCGGTCTCCCCCCTCCGAGGTCGGAGGGACCGCATTCCTGTTCCCAAAATCTCTGGTAAAGCGGTACTTTTCACGCAACAAAGTCTGGCCCGTAATACACACAAATCCGGCCCGTATTGACTTTACACACCGGAGATAGATGGGTGCTTTCAAAGGAAGGGAACATGCATACATGTACGCTAAATAACACTGAGTGGGGGGGGGGGGGCCAGGGCCTTCACATTTAAATTATTGATGCTGAGTAAGAATACAATAGTCTATAAACGACGACTCCCTTTTATTAGTTCTGCAACTGCACAAAGCACACTGAATGATTTAGAGAGGATTAAAGAGCATTAACGCTAATGCATGAATTATCCCCTAGGGATGTAAAACATATCTTCTTCTTCTCCGCCCTTCAATCACAATGATAGGTTAGAAATATCATTGGATTAAATAAGTAACCCATGCCAAATATGATTAAGTTAAGAAAGAGAATGTTACACTTTATCCCAAATTGGATTCTTTGGTCGATACTTATTCTAAACTTTATAAAGAATGGACATTTTCATTCTTTACATTTGTGTAAGATGGAGGATGCTACAATGAGACGGAGAAGAAGAAAGAGTTCAAAGAAATAGCCTGACCCAAATATTGATTGTCATTTTAATGTTACATAATGTCTGCTATAGTAGGATCTATTTCTTGTCAAGAATTCTATTTTTAGTTGGTGTCTTGAAATGTAATGTGTTATGTTTGTCAACTGAGAAATAAATGATGAGGGATTTATAATATTTGCCAAGATAGAACTAAAGTTTATTGAAAACAACTATTATAATAATTAATGTAAACCGGTTAATGATTATTGTAAATGTTTTTTGTGATTAAAAGAAAAGAAAAAAATGTCCACATACATGTACAGAAAGGTAAAATGTACATGCCTTCCAAATCAAGAGTTGAGATCAGTTACAACACATCTTCTACATGTAGTTCATTTTGTTAGTTAATTAATTTATTAAATTTTAAGTAACTGCCCAGCTCCTTCCTTTATACAAGCTAACCAGGTTCATGAGTTGATACATGTACATTTCAACATTGAGAGCATTTGACACATACTTTTTTCTAAATCTTATATTATGTGCAGGTGGCTAAATTTGGTTCAAACTTCTGTCAAATTCAATTTCTTTTCAGAATTTCGGATACAGCTTTTTTCACAGAGATGACATATCTGGGCCATACAAAGCAGAGGTTTGTATTAAAATGAAAGTCAAGTGTTGCATGAAAGCCTATGCCTTAATACTGATTATTACTATGAAGTTTGACACATAAAAATGAAAAAATATATATACTTCTTTCTTACCCTTTTTTGATATCCACTATGGAACATATTCCATATCAATAAACACATGAACAACACCATATCAGCTGCTCTACCACATGAGTGCACGCAGCCATCTCCTAACTTCATTTAATCATATATCTCAGTTTATTTCAGCTTCCCCTATCCACAATATCACATTATTGATCCGAGCTTCATACTTTTCAAACCTGCAATTGGTGGCCATTGTTTGTCCAACAGAGCTGACCGCCAAACAATAAATACTCTCAGAATGAGAAAAACTTGAGGCGATACAAAGCAAGGGATAACTGATTTTTTTTGTACGCATCTTTATCCCCCTCAACTGAAATAATCTTAACACCTCTTTTACTCCTTGAAGGTCCTGCATATATAGCATTACACATTACAGGGGCTATGATGAAAACTCTATTCAAAGTATTCTCTACATCAACAAGATGAATAGTAAAAATTATATACCTCACTTAAGAAATCCAGCCATCTGATTGGTCGAATTGCATTCATAAACTTCAACTGTTCCTGTAAAATTCTCGGTAACCATGCATAAAACATTTCAATATTTTTAATAACCATGGTTATTAAAAAAAGTTGGTCAGCCTCCATGGTTACCCCATAGGTTTACATGTTAAAAAATGGTTTGAGCGATGGAGGATGCCGTATGTGTGCGAAGGATTGGTCGGTAATTTCAATACAATTGAATCTCGATCGATCTTACCGACAATTTTATCTTGCATTGTTGACATGAAGACGAAAATAAACTTCCAAAAACAAAAAAACAACATCTGCCGATAGATCTTGATCTAAGTTCGTGCCAATATGCATTGCAAAAGTAAAAGAAGAGTCCGTATATGGAGCTTTTGCGAAGCATTCATCACACGCGAAGCCGGTTTCAATCCATTTTAATGTATATATTGGAGAAAACTGCCAAGCATGTTAACGGCGGGCCATAGCCGAGTGGTCTAAGCGTTGGTTTTCGATACACCTCTTGTTGTACGCAAGGGTTCGAATCCCGTCTTCGACAAAAATGATAAATATTTTTCATTTTTCATTTTTTAGTCTATTTTTTTTTCGGCATATAAAAGTATTAATGACTGCTTTAATATTCGAGAAATAGTTGTTTTCATACGCTCTCGGGAAGGTTACAATTGGGCTATTCCCCTCGGCAAGCCTCGGGGAATAGCACAATTCTAACCTTCCCTTGAGCGTAATAAAACAACTATTTCTCTCAAAGCAGTCATTAATACTATACTAACAAACAAACACTGAGTGATATATGCAATAAGGTACAATGTAGGTGAACAAGGGACAGGCCCCCCCCCCCCCCCCCACCCACATCCGCAAGAATGTTCATAAAATTTGAACAAACAATAAAAAGGAAGTGATTTCCACTTGAACAAAAGTGAGATCTTCTTGTCCTACAATGTGTACCTTAACCGATACTTCATTTTTTACTTCAACTACATTTACATTGTATTTTAGAAAAATGTAAAATGGTACATGTACCGGTACCTTCCTGCATATTTACCCTGAAAAGGTAAAAACAGATTGAAGATTTACAAAAATGTAGGTACCAAGAGATACTAGTTTTAGTCACTGTATTCACACCTAATCAGGCACGCTGACACTAATTTAGCATTTATAAACTGCATTTGAAAATGATGCTTTATAACTTTTAATACGCCAGAGACAAAGTAAATTTTTTTAATCGTCTTTTTTTGGAATCGTGATGATGAATATTACATCTATAATTTTACACCTAGCACTGCAGTATCTCTCTAGGTTCACACACAACTTTCATCTTTCATCTATTACATGAACCTCATCATAAAACCATACAATAAATAAAAAGATTGCATTTCCCTTTTAACAATCACATGCCTTATGAATTTATTCTAGACCAGCGGGCATTATCAACAAAATCTGCCATCAAGAACCAATATGCCCCTGTCGACAAAAGACTATAAACTAAAGCGTGAGCCAGATTTGCATCTAAAAAATCTACCGGTACCTCACCACATTAACCAACAAGGTTAAATCAAGTTTCTCATTAAAATATAGCCTTCATTTTGATTAACCTAACTACAGACCGCAACCGTAACTAAGTCTAACAAATTAACAATCAATAACAGATCCGGTCTAGTAACTTTGATTCCCGCATGTACATGTACCAAGTACATTTATGACAGATGACTCTCGATTCACTTTAATAATTGATTTATTAATTCAATAAAAATAGGTAAAAGAGAAACCTCATCTCAAAAAAAAGCTTTAGTTATTCTGGTAGATCAATGGAGAGTTATGTGTAATAAAAAAAGATAAGAAAACATGTCTAGAAAGACACCAGATTAACAACGCATATATATATCTCTTCTACATTTTCGTAGGGAATATTGTGGATCAAAAGGTAAGAATAAAATTGCCCTTATAGCAAACCTACAATTATCCTTAGGGGTAAGGTTTCCTTTCAGAGAAATATACTACACTTGAAGAACAAGCAACGGTAATCATCAGAGATAAGTCAATTCGGTATACACCCATGCACACCATCTTATCTTAGTTTGGCTGTACCAAGATAGAAGAGCCATTTTTATTTTTAAATTGGTGCTGCTCAGTAAACAATCTTATGTTATCAACTCTTTGTAGTATGCAAAAACTTTCTACAATAACAGGGGGGGGGGGGTGTTTCACGAAGATCCTAAGTTGAACTTATCTCTAAGATGGAAAGCCGTTAGCATATGTATTTGAAAATATTTTGTAAATGTTATTTTAAAAGGCATATAATTTAATTCAAATCAGTCATGATTTCTATTATCAAGGAGATTTCATGTTCTTGATGTGGAATTAATAAAAAGCTAAAATATTTGAAATTTTCGTTTTTGAATATATATTATTTTAAGGCTACAAATGGCTCTCCATAATGTTTAAGTCCAACTTAGAGTCAAGTTGGACTTAGGATCTTTGTGAAACACTCCCCAGGACAGCTTCATGCACTCACCTTGGTACATATGGATTCCACAGTCTAAGGATGCGATCCATGCCACCGGTCGCTATCAGGTTCTTCTCCTTGCAGAAGTCAAAGGTCTTCACCCCCTTGTGGATCTTGAAGACCGTCTCGTCATTGTCCAGTCGTTTCTTGGCGTGGCTGTAATGCATCTGGTTGAGCTTGGCCCGTCTGTCGGCCGTTGTTGGGCGGGGCAGGTGTTCCTTGCTGTCTTTTAGTTTGGACCCGACGTGGGTACTTCCAACAGTGCAACCTATCGGGGTGAAATAGGAATTTTGATGAGTAGAAGGTGCAGAAGGTCATAGTTCGCGGACACCAGCACCAGACTTGGTGGAAATACCATTAAAGGGTGCACAAGTCTAACACCCAGCAAACCGGTAGTCCCATCAAGAAATACCTTAGTCTCTCAGATAGTCTTGGGTTGAGGGAAATATAAGATAATGACTTTACTATATGGAGGGATGGGTGGAAAATGCAGGGCATTACATAAAGTTTGTTTGTCTTAAAGCTGTTATTTATAACACCTGTTAACACCCGAATGGTGTCGAATTACCCACTACTATACTATACGTCTTTATTAATGAATTAAAGACAATCATACATGTATGACTACTCAAGGGAAACTGACACTAAAAGTCTTCATGGGTGGTCTCATTTATAGGTACCACAAAGGAAAACCCCAAAATAAACGAAGTCTCTGAAGACCAGTTATAATATCATTCTAAACAGTTGACCAATGAAGGAAGCTTGACTGCACCAAATACAGATATACCAATTGATTTATCTACATCTAGTTTGAAAGAGACCCATACAAGCTTGTCCTGTACAATCTAAAGCACAAAAGTTTAGATTTTTGCAAGTAATCATCATACTAACTATAATATGATTACAATATCATTACAATAATCCTGTTATAATTGCAATACAATTACAAAATAGTTCAATAAAATGTACAAGGCCTTTCCAAAATTCTGAAATCAAAGAATTCCTTACAGAATAAAGTAACTAGGCCTAAAAGTAACATACCAATTACTAATGCAGTGTTCTCTCTGTTTGAGCAGGAGATGATGGATCGGATATCGTCATAGTACTTGATATCTCCGACCCAGTCATCATGAACCTTCCATCGGACAAACTGGGTCAAAGGTGAATGTGCGACCTTCTCTAGGGTCACGCTGGCAATGCCTTCCGTCTTGGGCAGCTTCTTCCATGTTCTGAAACGCAAGAAGTTGAGGAGTAACAGAAAAGAATATTTGGGAAAAGTACTCTCTACAAGTTTAGCTCCAAACATCATAATCCTACTAGTTAATAGCATAATCATTTAAACTGTAATCCATTTTAAATCAACACATAGACTAGTGAAGAGATAAAACAGCAAGATTCATTGAAAATTAGACACATTTTCCTCTTCACTTATTTCTTTTATTCAACCCCCCCCCCCTCCCACACACGCACACAAAATGATAACAAAAGTACAGGTTTGAATAAGTCTTCCAGTTTCATCCTCTCACGATACAGAAGTTGTACAAGTTTCATTTCAGATTATATTTTGGAAAGTGGATGAAAAAGGCCCTTCCAAACCATGAATACACAGTAACATTAATTTCAAACAAATCATGGTCTTGATATCAATTTAATTGTTTATGATTTTAATTAAATTTGCCCTCAAAAAATTGACTAAATATGTACCTGAGTGTCTCTCCAACTCCATTGATGATGATGATGTTGATGCATCCTTCACTATCTCCATAAATCAGATAGCATTCATCAAATCCTGTAGCACTGTTGGGATCAAACAAAACATCAATTCAAGAAATCTTGCTTTCAGAAAAATGATAACAAAAGTCAATAATTTTACCCATATTAAAAGAAGTTTACATATGAACATACTGCAGAACTAGACATGAATTTTTCATGGCTTTGGCTAGTAGTCTAGATTTGTGAATTTTCATGCAGCAATATGATTCAACAATGAATTATTACAATTCACTTTAGTTTCTGGCAAGAAAATAGCCAACGGTGATAGACTGCAAAAGTTATAAATCATTACCGTCCATGTGACTCTCTTTTAAGATGAAGAAAAGAAGAAAATTGGGGAATTGAGTTCTTAACAGTATAAATATGTTGATTGCATAGTGAGAATACAATGTCTATGCAACACTGCACAATTTTGTATGCAATAGAACAAGAATGTGAATGGGCACTGGGCATTTTTCGGCAGTTATAGGAGTAACAGAAAGGGCAGTAGCTGGCTGAAGGGTTAAACCCTCAATAATAGGAATATCAGTACATGAAACTAAACAGTGCTTACCAGTATGTTAGTTTGAGAGGTGTAGTCTCCAGTCCAGTCACTTGACAATATGGCTCAAAGGTGGAGAGTTCGTAAAACTGAATTTCACGGTCACTGTAATAAAGAATTAAAAGTGGGTACATTAACAGGAATTTAACATTTAGTAGTAACTCCACATACATGTACACTTAGATTAAAAGTGAATACTGATTATTTGGTGGCCATTCACCTGTGATTTATCAGCATTGAAATTTCCACTTCATGTAATTTATTAGCTATTTCTCATGAATTAGTTTCTCATTTCACTTGCTGGTGAAAGTCTTTTTTCCTAAAGTTTTTTTCTACTATACATGTTGTTTAAAAAATCTATATTTGTTACCACCAAAAAAAAGAAAATCTGTGTTAAGATTTGAAATAATAATTTAAGAAATTTGTGGAAATATGAATAGGATACACTGTCTTCCAGTAGCCAAACTGAAGTGCCTGTTTGTTGTCTGTCAAAACTAAAACCAAAACCAGTCAAAAATATTTGGTGAAAACTGTCCCATTGGAGTAACTGTCATACATGTTTTGATTTAAACAAAAATGAAAGTTTCGATATAAACAAAGAAAATGAAACAATATCTTACCCTGTTCCTACAATGATCTTGTTAAACTGTGTCATCATCACAAAGTCGGTTACCCATTTAGGCTTCTGTCTTGTGGTGTTCTGATCAACCTGAATTCACAAAGCACATGGGAATATATATGAATTGTTTGGGAATTAAATGAAACCACATCGGGACTGTTTACATGTACATAAAAATGAACGACCTGAAAGAGTTTAAAAGAGTTCTAACAGCTCATTAAGCGATGAAATTATATATTTATTTACATATATTTTCCTCTCCTCTCTTACCAAATCATGTATTTTTTTGTTTACATAATTACATAATTTGTCAAGTAATTCAGCTGACTACCACACAGCCCATACATTTAGTAGGGTACATGGGATCAAATAACATTTATGAAGCCAGAATGAATGAAGAAAAAAAAGGCGAAGTTGTGCAAAAATGATACATTGATATCACCTTCTTCTCTTTTCAGTTCTTTTCAATACTAGCATTTGAATCAATAATTTTTGTTTATATTCAAATTAAAAAAATAATGATAAACCTCACAATTTCCTTGAGAGAAATGAAATCACCTAGTGGCACTTGATCATCAATTAAGAGGCTTTACAAACAACTCAAAGCTGTCTATGTTCAAGCTTTAAAAAATAATAATAATAATAATAATAGTGGCTACTTGTATAGCGCACAGGTCCACCTTTCGGTGCTCATGGCGCTTAGAAAAGAGTACATGTAACAGGCATAAGAAAGAGAAAACAATAAACCGAAAAACAAATTCGGAATTCTCCTAGACATAGTAAATTAAAATATTGCAATAATTACAACGAAAGAAACAAATAGGTTTTTAGTTGTAATTTGAATGTTTCTGTCGATGACAGTTGACGTAATTTTAGAGGGAGCTTATTCCACAGTTTTGGACCCATGGCTGAGAAAGCCCGTTCCCCCCAAGCATGTTTTATTCTGGGTGTATTAAGTAATAGTGTGTCTGATGAGGAGCGAAGACTTCGTGTGGGGTTGTATTTTGAAACAGAGTTGCTCAGGTATGCAGGGGAAGAAAGAGAGTAAACTGAATGATGTACAAGTAACATAATTTTAAAAATAATCCTTTTTTCAACTGGCAACCAATGGAGAGAACGGAGAATTGGTGATATGGAATCAGATTTCTTAGTGAATGTTAATAGGCGGGCTGCAGAATTTTGAAGTCGTTGCAGTTTTGTGACATCTTTTTTTGGAAGGTTACAGAACAATGAATTTGCAAAATCTAAACGAGAAGAAATTAAAGCATGAATTAAGATCTCAGCCGCAGGTTTAGATAAACACTTTCTTATGAAACTTAGATTACGTAATTGGTACCTTACACTCTGTTGAATATGTGTTATGTGACTACGAAAGGACATTTCCTGATCAAATATTACACCCAAATTACGAGCTGTTTTTGATGGAGTGATACACGTTTTTCCAATATGGAGATGACACGATTGATAGTCAACCTTCCCTAACATGTGCTTGGAACCTAATAATAAAAACACAGATTTATCATCATTCAGCTTAAGGCCATTAGATACTAACCAGGATTTCAGTTCTTCTAGACATTTTTCAAGTTTTGAAACGGCTGAGGACAGTGAAGACATTGTAGGTTTAAAAGAAAGATAAATTTGGATGTCATCTGCGTAGCAATGGTAACTAATACAATGTTTGTGAAATATCTTGCTGATTGGTTGCATATAGAGAGAAAAGAGCAGTGGTCCTCCTACCGAACCTTGGGGTACACCATACTTCATAGTAGTTTTACTAGAGGTAGAATTATCAATTTTTACATACTGAGATCGTTCAGAGAGATATGATATAAACCAATTAAGGGCGGTACCCTTGATACCTAATGATTTCAGCCTTCGAGTCAGGATAGAGTAATCTACTGTATCGAAAGCTGAGCTCATATCTAACATAACAAGAGCAGTAATATTACCGCAATCCAGTTCTCTAAAAATAGTATCAGTTAAGTTGACAAGTAATGTTTCCACACTATGACCAGACCTGTAGGCAGATTGACATGGGTCAAACAATTCATTATCTCGTAAATATGCAGTCAGTTGTGAGAAAACAACCCGTTCCAGCATTTTACTCAAAAAAGATAAGTTTGAGATTGGGCGGTAATTCTTGAGACACTCCTGATCTAAGCCCGATTTTTTCAAGGTTGGATGGATGACAGCTGTCTTACAAACCTGTGGGACAATACTTGAACTAAGGCTAGCATTAATAATGCTTGTGATGACAGGTGCCAAGACTGTGCTGCACTTCTTAACCAAATCTGTTGGGATTGGATCAAGCTCACATGATTTATTTGGTGAGTTCTTGACAAATGAAGTGCTGTCATGAGCCCGTTTATGAATGGTTTTTCTAGTTACAGTTTTAAAGAGAACTTGAAAAGGGTACTTGGATGATGAATATCAATGATTCAATACTTACCATGACCGCTTTCCATCTCTTCAACTCCATATTGCCACTCCAAAAAGCTATCGTGCCATCCTATGGAATGAAACAAAATAATTGAATGAATGTTATAATATACAAGTACTCCACTTGCGTAATGTTCATGTGAATGACTACAGTGTAATGCTTATATACTACTTATTACTATTTATTACTACCTATATTGCCATTAATTATACAACTACTACTTCTACTATTTTTCTATGGTAGTACAATACCATTATTGCTACTACCACTACTACAACTGCCCAGTACTGCCACTACAAGTATGAATTAATGATGACTTCTGCTACCACGTCTTTACTTCTTTCTCTTTTCTCTCCTCCCACTTTTCCTTCTTCATCTCCTTTTCCTTCTCCTTCTACTACTACTACTACTACTACTACTACTACTACTACTACTATTTTCCATCTTCTCCTAGTATAATATTTTACCTGACTTGTTGTGACACACGTGCCATCACTCATGTTGGTGACTCTGAGTACAGGATCTCTGTGGGGCGAGGTAAGGATGATAGCAGGGGTGTGGAGGTCCACCTCCTTCTTACGTAGATAGGCGTCCTCCTTCTCCTCATACTCAAGCTGCATGTAGGTACAAAACTCATCCTGGACGAACAGAAAAGTAGTTTTTTTTAATTACAAAAAATATCAATTAATTTAATTGTATGTCTATGAAATACAGTCAAACCTGCTTAAGTGACCACGTGTCTACAAAGACCACATTTTTTGTTTCCCTTGAAAATGAGTTCTCATTGAAACATGTAATAAAGGAACCTATCTACAAAGACCACCTGTCTTCAAAGACCACTTTTTGTGTTTCCCTTGGCGGTCACTATAGACAGGTTTGACTGGTCAATGCTCTATGGCTCCATACAAAACTTATCCTGTTCCGATGTGGCAGAGGGAAATAATTAAAAACATGAATTTCTTTAGTCACACATCTATGAGACTGACCCTGAATTTGCATGAAATATTGTAAGGGGAAGAAAGTTGTGGAACATTTGAATGATGCACATGGGGAAGCTTACAAGTTAGAGTTTTTCTTGAGCTAGCAAAACTGGTTAATGATACACTTTATCAACAGGAATTTTATTTGGTTTTAATGATTGGTACAAAACATATAGACAGATACAAAACATAAACCATAGCCAGAAACAAAACAAATATCAGTAAATTTACAGGGAAATTGCTAAATGATGAGAGGATATTTATCAAGATCTAATGGCGACATCTAACACATTAGTTATAAAATTACATTTTCATTTGAATTAAATGCTTAATCAAGTTTATAACAAATGATACAGGGGATCAAGATAATTATTTTTGCAAGCATTTTTTGTTGTTGTTGGGGGGGGGGGTCGTTTTGGCATAGATAGACATTAAATTAAATAAAAAGAATAAAGCAACAATCAACTTACAACCAGATGTTAGCAATAGTATTCACTCAGTTACAATCTCGGCTCAAATCAGGCAAGGAAATGACACTAATGAACGGTGACTTACACTTCAACTACCCACCATTGATTATTAAACAACCAATCAATACACTTGCCTTAGCTACCTATTGTAAGGCAACACGATGTCGATTCTGTTTTGCTCGGTAGAGCTTGAATGTCTCATAAACGCATAATGATTTCTGCGATGAGGCATACAAGCCTGCGTCATGCAAGGTCTTTCCCCCATCAAAAATCAATTATCTTCTGTCTCACGGATGACATTAACGATTGTGTTGATGATTTGGCTAAATACACAAGGTTGTCCCATTTTTGATTTTGCGGTACCTGCAGCTATTAAGGTCAGAAACCCACAAGGAGAAGGACTGGGGCTGGTTGTCAAACTGCCCTTAGGGTCGTGAATGTTTTGGCTATTAACGCAAAGGGGCGCTGTTCAGTGTTTTGTGAAAACCACATTCAAGTTTTGTTTTTGTCTTCTGCATTCATTCATCTTGATATTTGTCACTAGTTGATGCTAAATCTATATAAGAATAGAATTGTGCATTGTAACAAGAAGTTTACGATAATGTGGAGGAGGGCTAGACTGACACTTAATAACAGCCCTCTTGGACAAATACTTTCATCTTTGTCTTCTGCAGGGTGCTTGAATTTATTCATCTTGATATTTGCTAATGAAGGTACTTTAAATAGAATTGTGCATCGTAACAACAAGTTTACAATAAATAAGAGCTTGGATCACAAATAAAATTAACATTAAGATGTGGAGGAGGGCTTGACTGACACTAAATAAAAGCAGCTCTGAACACATGGACAAAACTACTTTCACTCAGGAACTCCAAGAAATAAGAGAAATAAGCTAATGTAAATAAGATTATTGGTTGTCAAATCATTGGGTGGTAAATTACAACTTTGATGACCCTTTAAACTTTGCCCAAGATCCATTCTTTAAGTAAAAAATACATTGTTTCATACCATCATCATCTCACACAAATAATTTGTGTATAAACTTTAACAAGTTCTAGTGATCATCAATGGTTTATTGGAAAGAACATGTGCACATGGTAACAGAAAAATAAATATATATATGTTCATCCTTCGCACGTATGAATAATACAGGCACATTACATCTTTTGTGCATTCATTTTTTAGCTGATGTAAAAAAAACTTCAATATTCTGTCACCTCTTTTATTGTGTATTCATTTCCTTTAAGGAATGCAGGTGCATGCTATTTAAGGATATTTCCAGTGCTCTGAGAGGGGCAAAATCATACGATATTGAGTAGCCAGATCGGATAAGCAGTTTCAAATAGCTTTCATCAATATTTGTTTGGCAGCTTTTGTTTAATTTTGTCTGATTTGTTAGATTTGTCTGATTTGTCTGATTTGTTAGATTTGTCTGATTTGTTAGACTGCCCGGCAAGCAGTAAATGCATGTTCAAGTCCCGCTGGTTCCAAGATTTTTTTCTGACTTGTTTTTCAATACAGATCGATCAATCAATCTTATTTACTGGGTGTAAGCCACAAATATGTTTAAATAATATACAGAATTATATAATCTATACAGATTAGATAATGCATTCCCGCCCATCCAATCCATCTTTTCATGAATAATGATTTAAAAGGGCAAACAAAGTATTGTTATTTAAACTACATGTACATGTTCTCTTTGCCATATTATATTATAGTATTAATGACTGCTTTGAGAGAAATAGTTGTTTTTATACGCTCAAGGGAAGGTTTGAATTGTGCTATTCCCGAGGCGTGCCGAGGGGAATAGCCCAATTGTAACCTTCCCGAGAGCGTATAAAAACAACTATTTCTCGAATATTAAAGCAGTCATTAATACTTTTATATGCCGAAAAAAAATAGACTAAAAAATAAAAAATAAAAAATACTTTTTTTTTTTTGTCGAAGGTGAGAGTCGAACTCTTGCGTACAATGAGTGATGAATCTTACACCAACGCCTTACACCACTCGTCCATCGCGCGCTGTTCACATGCATGGCAGTTTTGTACAATATATACATTAAAATGGATTGAAACCGGCTTCGGCGTGATGAATGCTTCGCAAAAGCTCCATTAAACGGACCCTTCTTTTACTTTTGCAATGCATATTGGCACGAACTTAGATCAAGATCTATCGGCAGATGTTGTTTTTTTGTTTTTGGAAGTTTATTTTCGTCTTCATGTCAACAATGCAAGATAAAATTGTCGGTAAAATCGATCGAGATTCAATTGTATTGAAATTACCGACCAATCCTTCGCACACATACGGTATCCTCGATCGCTCAAACCATTTTTTAACATGTAAACCTATGGGGTAACCATGGAGGCTGACCTATTTTTTTAATAACCATGGTTATTAAAAATATTAAATGTTTTATGCATGGTTACCGGGAATTTTACAGGAACAGTTGAAGTTTATGAATGCAATTTCGACCAATCAGATGGCTGGATTACTTAAGTGAGGTATATAATATACAAATATTGACTGCTTCAAGAGGCACAGATAAAACTACCCCGGTATAGCCCAAGGTGATCTCGAAACTGTACTGGCCCCAAGATGAAGTCAAGGGGCATAGTGCAGTTTCAAGATCATCTAGGAGTTACATGTATCGCATTAACGGTGCCCCAAAAATTCAACAGTCAATATTTGCTTTATATACTGCATCCAGATAGTGGATTCTCAAAAAAAAAATATTTTGACAAAACATCCTGTTCAAAACGTGTTTGAAAATGTGGTGAAATATACCAAAACAAAAAAGAGGGGTGCATGAAGGGGATACCTACCTGTATCCACTGTGCGCATCCATTGTTGACTTCAGGTGCATCTCTTGAGTCCTTGCATTTTACGCGCAAGTTGACTTATATAATGCCTAGTTAATATTTTTCGCTTTCCTGCCCAGCAGTCAGATGTGAATTTCATACCTGCAGTTTTGACCAATCAGAGACCTAGGATCTTTACATGTGGTATATAAATATCTTTCAATCTAAAACCACATAGATAAACTATGAATTATAGATGAAAACCTTGTCACTTTTAGTAATTTTTGTTGTTTTGGTGGGGGGGGGGGGAGGGGTGACTGATTTTAGAAACTTACCCAATCAATGGTTCCTTCTGAATTGAAATCTATTTTCATGAAGAGATTTGTGATTTCCTCATCATTCTGTGGGTGGAAAAAAAAAGAAGGAAAAAAAAAACTTTGTAAGTTTATCATAGAGGACAAATTGTGGTCACTCACTTCTCCTTGTCCAAAAATAAACAATCTATGACCGACAATAGGTTATAATTAAGGTATAATGGATCCTCTTCTTAATCAGCATACTAGTGTATCTGCTATATATACATATATATGTAAGAGCCAAATGGGCATTTTCTCATAGCCTTTAACACACTGATAATGCCCTCTAGCTCACTACAGATGATATACATACTAATTTTTTATTCATGAAGGCTTTTCAGGAACTCATAGAGTCTGGTTTAAAATAGACCAGTTTCCTACCGGTTTCCTACCCGCCTCTACCAATGTAACAAGATAGCACCCATGGCCCTATCCATTTTTTCAACCTTTACAAAAAAAACCACCTGCACAAAGTGACTTCCCTTTCCATCAAGGTGTCATGTCAAAGCCAACATATATATCAACAGCTGAGAGCAATAAAGGTATTAATTCATATATCATAATAAAGAGTTTGACACCCTTCTGTCTCTGAGCACATGAGACTAGACAGTTGCACTTATGGTGATGCGATCCAAGGTCGTATCCATGACGACATGATGGATGATGGAAAAATGGAGCAATATCATGCCTGTTCATCAGTAGCCATTGGGCTGTTATAACTAGCATGCTGGTGTTCATTAGCCTAATGAAAAACAAAAATGTATTCTACACATATATTGTAATCTATCCCTAGTAGTCTAAACCCTAGCATCATCTTTCTAGTATCATTATTTTTTAATGAACTTCATGCCACTATCTGATTAGAAGAACAACAAAATTTGACTCAAATGATGATATAAATGTGCAAGATATTGTAGATACTGTAGCCCTTTCTGCACCAAAGGCAGCAAAACCTATCAAATTAATACCGATCTAAAGTTTGAATACAATATCCTGAAAATCATGCAAAATAAGGTGGATTTCCTTGAGTATTTAGAATGGGGTCTTGCTTGAAATGGCTCAATCAAATGGTATATCAGTTGAATACACACAAGTTATGAAAAGGAATAAAATCATGCCTCATGAAGTTAATTTCAATAAAGGTCGGTAAAATTATATGAAGTCCTTCGTCCAATTTTTTACAACAAATATATTCAGCAAATGAGTTTAATGAAAAATAAAATAAAATTCATAGATTTTTAAAAGTAGTGTCAAATTCATCTGACCAAATAGCCCCTGTTCCCACAGTCGAGATAAAGATCTTGTCACTAGGTAGACTGGTGATAAAGAGATTTGTATCACTCTCAGGATCAATGAAATGAGACAAAGAAATTTTGCTCAAAATCCTATCTGGTATAGATCTAAGTTATTCCAAATGTGCTTTGACAGGATGGTTTGATAGATTTGAAAAGTGATAAATTTACAAAATAACATCATACATGTACAAGTTCATTTGATTAACTTTACAATGAATTGAAAATTGAGGACCTGTACACTAATTTATCAAAAAATAAGTGTCAGGTTTTTCATTTGTAATGCAGATAGCGAGAACGTTTCTAGCTTAAACTTTTAAATTACTAGAGTATGGATACTCTACCACTGTAAAACTTGCTCCTCTGTCCCTCCCCCTCTCTCTGGAACCCTTACGTTTTGGGATTTACAATTTAAAAAGAGTGACATTTTCTGACTTTATATTTGTACATTTACATGTATGAATTCCTTTATAAATTATACCAGAGCCTCTTTTTTTTTAGGAATGTCAAGCTTGAATTAATTTTCCAGAGCCAAATTGATTAAGATATTATGAGACAGTATCTTAGGCTGATTGCGACTTACAGAGAGATAAACGATCAAAAGAGTAAATGAGTATATTTTCCCCGCATGGATATTCACTCATGTGGGGTAAAATATATATCAGGTGAGGTAGAGTAAATAAAACAGAGAATGAGAGACTGAAGTAGTATACAGTGTATAAAGAAAATAGAATTGGTATAGGGGTTGTCTCCATCTTTATATTCGAGTGGGTAGTCTGGCATTCAAAAGGACAGGATATTCTACTTTTAGCATGGGTTTTAATCTTTGACTTGTTACTGGATAGCAGAGTGCCATAGTATACGTCTGCTGGCTAAAACAAAAGAAGACATTTTAAACGCATACCTTGGTTCTAAGGCTGAGTGAACCTCGTAAGACAGTCTTGAATTCATCCAGTGACAAGGTTCCACTTTGGTCCACATCAGCTTCCTGCATTTAAAGGGAAAACATTGCAACAATTGAAAAAATATATATTTACTGACCAATGAAATGCGTTGTTTTCATACAATGTAGACTCAAAGGATGTTGGTATTAAACAAACAAAAAAACATAATAAATCTCACATAAATTTGTTTGTGTATGGAAACAAAAAGGCACAGAAAATATTCAAGAAATCTTAAAGAATACAGAGTTTGTTGTTCAAATTTTAAAGCATCCCCTTCTTCCTCTTGGTCCCCCCCCCCCCCCCCCCCCCCCCTCTTTCTATCTCTCTCTTACTCTATTATCTCTAGGCCTACATTTCAATGACATTGAGGAAAACTGAATCTTACCTCAAAGAATTTCTTCAGGCCATGCAGGTCATCAAGGTTAATCTTTTCTTCAATCTGTGAATACATCGAGAAAGAAAAAATAAAAACATAGTATTAAAGGATTACATGTACAAATGTGGTTTATCACCTCCTGGTTCAAGAAAAGTCTCACAAGTTACAATAGGCGTGTCTGCACTATCTCGAGATTGCCAAATATCCAGCTATTTGAATTATCCCGATCGCAAACTATCCAGCTTATTTGCGTCTTCATTAGACCGAAGTAGCAAATTAGCTGGATAGTTGGTCGGGATAATATCCCAAGATATCTCGGTCTAGTTTGCGGTTTTCCGTGTTTACCCGAGGTCAGTGGTTGCGAGGTCAGCGCTGAGCGGTATAGATCGCATGTGCGAACCGGAAATCGTTGTGCATGATGGGATCGGGATAATTGACTCCGTACTTCGGTCTAATGAAGACGGTCGCAAACTATCCCGCTAGTTCGGAAATAGAAGGATATTTTGCAAACTAGACCGAGATATCTTGGGATATTATCCCGACCAACTATCCAGCTAATTTGCCACTTCGGTCTAATGAAGACGCAAATAGCTGGATAGTTTCGATCGGGATAGTTCAAAATAGCTGGATATTTGGCAATCTCGAGATAGTGCAGACACGCCTATCGTGTCATGTATTTCCAGTTTTCCCACACACAAAAAAAAAATCTCCCTGTGTAGTGTTTTCTTTGTAAGCCTACAAGTAAGAATAACACATTCTAACTTCTAGACTCAACAACTATGACTCCAGAGTCCAGACACTGCCTCCATTACAAATCTCTATAGCAACGCATATAAACACATTGATATAGTGAGGCATGGACGAGCGCCTTCTTTCAAAGCACAAGTAGGACCCTGCTTCTGATATGCTTTTGAGACGATCGAGAGATCTTCCCTGGCGACTGTGAGTTCAGATTGATGAATATCTTACCATCTCGCTCCACATGATGTAAATTTCATTAAGATTTGGTTTCCAATAAAGAATGTACTAAATAAGCGACGATTCCTGAGAGAAAGCCATTGCACATAAACCTCGTCACACACACGGGTCACACCAAGTCTTCTGTTGAAAAAGCTGTACATGTGCATGCCTACCTCAGCACACATCGTGAAAACAACGGAGGTATATTACACTTGGGCCACATTCCAAAATCTTGGGACCACAGGTCATCAAAATCCTGACCTCTGGTAATTTGACACCCCTACGAGGGCTACTAAGCAAGCAGAAAGTCAGATATATCGGTAATTTAGAAGTTTACCCAGCAATCAAGCGTACAGACCAAGTAAACATACTGGCCCCAAACTGCAGCAATAAAAACTTGTACGAACTTGAACTTATCAATAAATGTAGATCCTAATGATATCTCACCATACAGAAATCCTCGCTCTCCTTCATTGCATGACTAAAATGCATCAAAAGAAATCATAAACTTTCAAATGTTGTGGGACCAACGTAACGTTTTACCCAGCTCTTGGTCCTATAGCAACCGACTGGGAGCATGCAGCCAACAATCCCTTCTGCTGGTACCCTTCTGTTGGTCCGCTAACTCCTCTTTTGATGAGTGTGATGAATGATTCCTCATATTAATAGGTCACAGATTCAAAGGAGTAGAATAGAGCAAATGCTTCAGACATTGCTTAGATTCAGTCGAGTAGAACAAACAAACAGTAGGCTAACCATCTGAGGCTATTACACTCAAGGTAATTGTGGCTTCCCAATTTGATAGATGTCATTTAGTTCCCCCAAAAGACCGATCTCCATTTATAACTAACATGCAGATTACTGGAAGAGCAAGAGACAAACAATATATATAATCCATAATGTAGTGATTGACTCTTTCATAGGTACAATGGTTTAATCAAGAGCTTTTCAAACAAAGATAAAAAATAATACAAATGAAGTACAGTTGTAGGCTTCACTGGATTTAAATATGAGACAATGCAACAGAAAACACCTCCCCCCCCCCCAAAAAAAAGGGGGTGTGGTGGGGGGGGGGGGGTCAACAAAATGGATACTGTCTGTAACACAGACTAATACTGTTTGTTGTTGTTGTTTTTTGCTCTAAAAACAGTATGCTTATTATGCTGCACATTTCACTTAATAAAATCACATAATCGAAGAAGGAACTAAAATAATTTTAGACCATCTTTATATTTATCTTTTATAACGAGCAATAATTTGATGGAACAGATAAGTTGTACATGTATGTAAATGTTTCTCTTGGTTACATTTATTTCCATTTCCAACACTCTTTTTTTTTAAAGCACATAAAGTATACAATGATCCATATGAATATAGTTTAGCCTCTACCAGGGGAAAAGATACACGGGGGCTCAGGGCAAATTAGCCCCCAAAATGCCAAAAAGAGCCCTGAAAGTCATAAAAGTGCCCCAGAAAAATTGCATAGAGTTCAATGCAAAACAAAATAAAGAGTGTTATTTTCATGCAAGAAATCAAACACAAATTGGCAAATCTGTGACGTATTTTGCCAGATCCCCTCCTAATTGCTGAACGGTAAGTAAATTTATTACAACAAAAAAAAAGGGGAAAAGAATTCTCTCTAGAAAAATATAAATCATACATGCATTCTAATTATACATGTACACGTAAGTTATTGCAAATATATTTGTATTTGACTTGTTAGGAAAAAAATATATTCTGTCTTCAATAACAGAGAAAATGAAAGTTTTTGAATTTTATGTATAGAACAGATTGGAGAGGACTCAGAGAAGCTCACATTGTACTTAACAGTGTTGGGGCACTGCCAATTTGTGTTTGATTGGTCACAAATTCATAGCTTTCTCATGTCTGATCAAAATTTACTCAAACTTTCACTGATCTGTTCCTCTCATTTTTATGCTTCTAACCTATTAAAACCAAATTAATATCATTAATTTCCATACACCCCAACAGGGTACAACTGTATATAAACAAAGCATATTCTTATTCTAAGATACTCCATAATATATAATTTACATGTTAAAATGATTCCTGGCATTAGGTTTAAAAATTCAGAATGGATTCTGACATGAAGTCTCTAAACTTGCTAATTACATTTAGATATTTTACTTTCAACAACATTAACAATTAGAAATTTAAGTAGAATATCCCTAATTAGAAATGTGGACGGACTAAAAGAGTTCAATTGACATTGTAATGTCAACCACATGCATTTAAAGGCAGGCTTTACTACTTCAGCTAGAAGGGATTAGACCACCCAGCGAGCCAGCGAGGTCACTGTGACAGATGGCTATCTCATTGATTCAGCTCTCATTTAACATAAGAAAAAGAGGATCATGGGGGACCAACCGGCACCGATTGGGGAAGTTTTCTATTTAGAGGGAGCAAGTAGCTACAAGTAGGACAGTGTGCCTTTAAAGTTCATAATCCAAGATGTCATCAGTACCTTTCAACCTTATCGTTAATGATGGAGCGGGTCAAATTAATGTGGGTTTACAGACCCCCAAAATGACAAAAGAGTCGATGGGCCATTACTCTTCCTTCCATTTATACTGTCTTAATCCCTACTTTGTCCAAATTTCATAAAAAAGACCAATTGATGAAAATCTTTAATCTACTCAATGTAATCAACTTCACAAAACTAATCCTTCTCAAAGAATCAGACTACTACTGACAAGTCAATCAATTATCTCTTCTTCCTCATGGACCAGGTTAAAGACTTTTATTACAAAGAAATCTGAGTTTTTTTAGGATGTGGAAACTTTTCTATTTATTTCCTTGACAGTATTTTGCTTGTGTTGGGAAAAAAAAAGAATGGTCCAGGTTAATTCCATGAAAATGTCAACTTATGGTGAAAATACAAAGTGTAATTTAAACCTTTTCTTATTATGACAGTGGAATAGGCATGATTAACTTCAAAATTTTGGGGGGGCTCTTTTATGACTTTCTGGGGCCCTTTTGGGTATTTTGTCGCCCGAGCCCCATGTTTTTTTCCCTTCCCCCTTTTTTGTATGCCATTCAACTGGAGGGGACATGTGCCTGTGCCCCCTCATACATGTATGTACATGTAGATGCATCATGTTATAATTCATACCACTTTTTTTATTGAAACAATTAAGGCAAGATATTTCATACTGTAGTATATATGGACAGCAATTTAGATTCAAACTAATCATAATCAAAGACAAAATACATGTAGACTCTACATGTAAAAACCTTGGTGTGTTAGGTCTACATCATGAAGGTCAATAAAAATTGAAAATTATTTTGAACAACCTAATGTACGTTGGTATTGCTAATAAAATTAAATACAAGTGAGACTAAATTTGTTGGCAAAAAAGGCCTCTTGTGAGGATAAAGCTATGCCTAACTTTATTACAGTCATAGATCTACTGATATACTAGTATACTATGAAGACTAATTAAATGAATATGATCAGAACAAAACAACATCACTGTTTAATCTTTTTAATGGAGCAATTTCTAAAATCAAATAGACTCTAAATTAAAATTTTAAAAAACAACAAAGACCAGATACTTGATAGCAGAGAAAATCTATTGACTTGGCTCAGAGTCAGAGTCATAAAGTCAGAGTAAATAAATGTCAGATTCGGACTCGGAGTAAAATACCTTGAGTGATGTCCCAGGAGGTGCTGAAGTTGCATAATGGCGAACCCTTGCTGCTTGTTCTTTGTCCTTGTCAGTCAGACCATCCACAGCTCCAAGAGTCATCCTCCTAGCTGGTTGTTCAGCTTTGACATCAATGTCCAAGTCCGCCATTCGGTTCATCATCCATTTGGTATTCTTAGCAGGTGCAACATTCGTCGCACTTCCACGCCCGCCAGCTCCCCGGCCTGCCCCCCTTCCCTGGCCGTACAGCCCCGGAGCTGCTGTGGCGGGACGTCCATTCTCAAATGAACTTGGCTGAGCTCGGGATTCAAGTCTAGCGGATGCCGAGGATGGCCTAAATGGCTTTCCCGGCCTCTTTATCGATGGCATGGTATTATTATTCATGAAAATAATAGTTTGTAAAATGAGTTTTTAATTTTTGTTTCGTCGATATGTGCACAAGTCGACCAGTCTCACTCAACACTCACTATTTACACTCATCTGGAGCTGGAAAGCCAAGGTGTTGACTTTTGGCTTCCACTGCACTGCACTGTTCTTCGCAATAAATCTCTCAAAATATATTCACTTTGATATTCCTGATCCGTCTCAGCCATGCCCAAAAGGTGCTTTGTAGAAACTTTCACTTGTGAACGTCCTACATCGATAGAAATGTTCTAACATGAAATTTTGCCAAATCAGTAATTGGCTTTGGTCCTGGTTCGAAATTAGTTTACACCAATTTGCACCGTGCAATTCAACCCGACCTCGATTTGCGTAGGCCTACTTATCGATATGTATTATGCACGAACAATCAATCAATCCACCTTTTTTGCACTGTACACACATGATACACAAACCGAGCGATTTTCTGTAGTCTGGATTTCTGTCTCTTGTTTGAATATAATGCAAATTTGGGAGCATCCCGTTTCGTTTGCACCATTTTCTAATCAAAATTAATATCAGAATATACAAATTTATATCGTATAATATAATATCGGTAACATATTTCGTGATTCTCTCCATTTGTTATTTAATATTACTCAAAATGTGGCCATCAGCGCACTGTGTCTCTTTGGAGTAGACTAGACTCTGTGAACGGTACCCCCCCCCCCCCCCCCCGATAAAGCTTCGTCTGTAACTATGGTTGCATTCACAAAACGGCAGAGTGCGCCCCGTTGGACGTCAGTGCGCTGAACCGACTCGAGTTTATTTTGGTATACTCATCGTCTCTGTCTATAATACATGTCTTCAACAAAAGAAAACATGCTCGAACATTTATAGATCGCTGGTTCTTTAGAACTTCCAAGGTGCAAAATCCATTTTTGTTTTCATGTTGCTTGGAGGTGGAGTGATCTTGTACCAATTATTTACATAAAGTGGCACTTCTATATTTTCTGGAACTGTTAATCCTGTTCACAAAAAGAAACTTACACTCTGCATTTCAAGTACTCCTATTCACCAGTAAAGTTGTTTTTTGTTTCTCTATTCAGTCAGGAGAGAATTTGCCATAAGGAAATTATTACAAATTGCTAGATCTTGGAATGATGGATTGGGGGCCTGATTTTTCTTGAAATTATTTTCCTGAACAGTTGCAAATCCCGAAGATATAGAAGCTAGTTTATTGTACCAGTAAATGAATTGTCATTTAATATTATTCCGAAATTGGTTAAATAGTAATATAGCATGTAATTCTACCACTATCTCTAGCTCAATCTCCCTGACTACCCCCGTATCTTCTCATCTTCTCTCCATCTTCCAGTTTTCTCTCCTCCTTCTCCCCAACTCTCTCTCTCCCCCTCTCATTTCGTCTCTCTTTTATTGTTTTCATCATCATTGTTGGCTTGTGCTAGCTTATGATACTTTCCAACTACTTTTTTTCTTCCTACCCACTTCAAATGCATAACTAAAATGCATTTCTCTACAGTATTTGTTAAATGAAATACATTAGAAAATGTTTAATTATTCATTTGAAGTGGGTATGAAGAAAAGAAAGTATCAAAAGCTAGCACAAGCCAACCGCTTGCCCTCACAAAGATTTTGAGGCATCAATCAAATAGTATGCATTTCTTTAAAAAAAATAATTGACCAAATGTAAAGTTTATCAAACCTACACCACAAATTCATTTGTAACTGTCTACCAAAATGTTTTTTTTAGTTTTTTACTGGAATTCAGAGAGGAAATTTGAAAAAAAGTTCCATCCCAATATAATGTGAAGAAGAATAGAAGAAAAAACAAACAGATGTAAACAAAAGAAAATGTGGAAACTCAAGTTCAATAACAAACCACAGATAATGACGTATTTTATTTGTCCTAAAATGCATTTAATAACTCTTGTGTGTGTTTGTTTGTGCTCAGTGTCAACAATATATAATTTACTAAAACTAATCTTTCAAATCATCAACTTTTAACAAAAAGCTACAGGCCTCAAAATCGAGCATGGAACATGAATATTTGATACTCACTTTATGTACATGTTGACATATATCTTCTACTTGGGCGCAATCAACAAAGTTGTTACACAAAAATACACATTGGTGATGGTGACAATGTCTACAGCACAATTTGATCATTTTCAGTACAAACAAAAATTATTATAATGTACATCGTCACATTCAATGCTAAAAGAAAAAATATATATATTAAAATTATACATATCAATTCACTAATTATGTAGCCTGGGCTTTCAAATGATTCAGTTAGGGAGAATAATCAGAAAAAAGTCATAAACATGATTATTTTCTGGTGTAAAAAGTACACATTTAACCTGTCGAATCACTTGATAAGGAACATCTGGCTCAAATGTGACAATGAGACAACTTGTGGAAATATTATGAAATTAGTATTGCTGGATTTCAATTTTTTGTATGATTGCCAATTCATGCAGCTTTTTTGTTTGTTTGATGGGGGAGGGCATTATCAACTTTGTGTGTTGAATGGTTTCAAAAGCACATACAGATGAAAGAACAAATTGAATTTTTGTTTTCAATAAAAATCTTTCTGTTGAGAGGCAGCTGAGTGTTAGTGCCTTTCTGGCTCTGAGAAGACATTTTGTCTTTTTGGGGGTTTCTTTTGCAGAGAATCTGAATCATAAGCAAAGCACATACAATGGTAATGGAGGGATCTGATAACACATAACACTCTTATTTGGTCTGCTGAGAGAGAGAGAGAGCAAGAAGAATGACTTTGAGGCTCTCAAAAGAATTACTTTTTTATCTATGCAGTTTTATGCATGCAGTGTTAACACCCTTCTGGCTCCAAACAGACAATATAACTGCTTCTGTACGATCTTAACATACCATGTACGGTCTGTTGAGAGCCAGAAGGGCAATAACCCTGTAAAAGTCAATGAGTTAATGCCCTTATGGCTTTTATCAGATGATATATTATCACTTTGAATGAAGGTTTATCATATTTTACTTATCATCATACACGCTGTCTCTATTTTCCAGTAAAAGTAAAATTAAACATTTTCCATTGTTATATTAAGTAGAGTTGTACATATAATCAAATGAAATACGATTCCTTAATTAATGTTGATAGATACAAAATAAGACTTTAAGCATCAACTAACTGATTCATCAACCAAATGAACTCTAAGAAAACATTTTATAATTCTTTATTCCATCACTCAATGTTTAGCTTTAATTACCCAGAATATATTCCAGAATTTGGTAGGCAAACTTCATATTTCAGACTTGGTGGAAAATACAAAATGTCAGCCTACATACATGTATATCCAACAGCGGCTATTTGCCACTTAAACTATGTTTGGCAATACTCATTTATTAACTGCTTCATACAAGGGAATGTTCATAAGTGTGTCAACAAATCTTTGTTTATTTTCCTATATCTAATATGTCCATGATGATGCTATTTTTAAACTAAGGTAAAGGCAACTACATAAACAACTGAACTCGAAGTGTCCATTTTGCCAGCAAAATAGTTTTGACTTAAGCTAATTAGCTTTTAATTGCCAAAAATAAGCCTGGTTTTTTTATTATAGATTTGAAGAAAAAAAAGCGAGGGTATCAAATAACTGTTCTATGATGAATCTACATGTGTGGCCTGTCACTTTACTCCCCAAAGGATAATAATTATAAATCATGATTACCATATATTGCTCTAGAGTCTAGACACAAAACACAAACTCTCTTTTATCATACAATTGCACAGTGTTTGTAATTTAGAGTGCTTTGGTTTAAGTACAAATTCTCATTATTGTCACATGACCATCAACCTATCCTCTAATTGGAGCCAGAAGGAATTTAACTCAGTTTGTTCAATAACAGATAATTAGTGCCCTTCTGGATCTCAACAGATAGCTAGAGAACAAGAAGAATGTCAACTTATGTCAACTTAAAGATAAACTCCAGTTCTGGAAAAAAAAGAAAATTAATTCTCACAGAATCAAACGAAACTTACACTGAATGTTCAAGATTACAAATAAATGACATGTGCCAAACAATTTTGGAAGAAAATGTATACTGGCTGAGTAATGAGCATAGAAAGACAAGGACATCAAGCTAGTACTAGCCCCAACACCATGTGTGTTGTCCCATATATAGCTTTCTGTGTACAGTGCTTGTTACTTTACCAAGACTCGGCCAAATTTATTATGATTGTGATGACTCCAGAACCTTGCAGTGCACACCAATACTGACATGCTACATGATCATCTGTTTCTGATCCTTTCCACACCTTTTCTTTCACAATGCATTCGCATTACCAGAACTGGAATTTATCTTTAATATCCATCTGGCTCTAAACAGGCAAAAAGAACATTGACTCATGTCAAAGAGTTAGTGCCTTTCTGGTTCTCCAATGACAATATGTGACACAGTCCTATTCAAATGCATAGTGGCTATTGGCAACGCCGGTGCATGAAAGCAAAATTCACACGCTTCATATAACTTGTATACTAATATGACTGAATAACACCACAGTAATACCATAAATATGTTATAATCTGCTAATTGAAATAATGGATATGATCATCCCCTCACCTAGCACAAACAGTGGGTTTATAATCTTGATCTAATCATTATTTCAAACTTAGGCTCAGTTTTTGTTTCAAATGAATTTTAATAATGAATTAAATTCTTCATAAGATTTGTTTAACTTTAAACTATGACATATTGCTCTACTATCTATTGTGAGCCCTTCAGCACATACCTAGTTGATTTGCAACTATTTGCAAAAATAAGAGGGGGTAGAAAATATGTAATTGACTTGTTTTTGCTACATAAAGAATTCATTCACAAGAGGATAGGATTATGATATCAAATTGAAATAGAAAAATTTAAGCCATGTTTCAAGAAGTACAAATGAACATTTCTTCTCAGTATTTAAAATTGATCTGAGCAACTGATTACATTCAAAGGTTAAAAATATCAGTGACGAAAAGGAGTTATACAATTGTGGAATTGGTGTGGCAGATGGGGGGGGGGGGGGAGAGGGGGAGGCCATTCACCCTAAAAGTCCCCCTGGAGCTGGATCTGCCTCTGTTCAACTACCGTAAGTCCAGTGATATACCACAAGCTGCAATTTGAGTCTTCATCTCACTTTATAAAAAGCTTAATATGCATCCTGAATGGTGATAACATCTGCACAGAGCTAGAAATGCATTCACACATATCATTTAAGAGTATTGACAGGGTCTAATGCCCTTCTTGCTCCCCGACCCGACAGATGATAAATTTATTGGACATTTTACTTGTGCAATGTAGTGCTAACTATTCACAAGATATTTATAAACCTTTTCTTTAAATAAAACGTACACTGCTACAAAGTGGGATAAACTCACTGTCACGCACACTGAATGATCTGTTCTCAGTATGGCTGTTTAAGGAATCACACATGGATAGTTTGAACTGCTGAAAGCCAGAAAGGCAATAACAGATGTACATACATGTAACACAGGGCTACTACCCCTCTGGCGCTCAATAGAGTTTCTTCCTCATGCTCTGTTTTGTTCGTTCTTTTCCGTAATGAAAGAAATATATCCCTTCTCTACGGCAGCTGTATCAACAGTATTTGTATTCAGAGATAACATACAAACACCTTATCCTTGTTCTTTGCTGAATATTTTGCAAATCTTTGGTGAGGTTGTCTATTGACATTTAACATCTTTAAATATTTCATATTTCTTCAACTTTTAAGCACATCACCTTATAAAACAAAAAGCTCAGTATATACAAGGCATACATGTATTAATATGCAAACATGGCTTTGTCTTTTGTTAGTGCACATACATACATGTACAAACCATCTTTAAATGGACCGACCATTCTCTATACATTCATGTACCCTAAAGTTCAACACCCCCCCCCCCCAAAAAAAAAAAAAAAAAATCAATACAAATCAACAAACTATGGTAATATATATATCAGTACTCTGTTGAGACAGACATGATTCTCTATTTGTTTACAACAGGGGGGGGGGGGGTTTAATACAGAAATGAAAACACAAAAATATCCACATTTTGGCATGTCTAATTATTATCAAATGTATCTACCATCATAATTTTGTTAACAGTGAGCACATTAGTTTAATAGCAAATAATTCTACCTAATGGCAAGAAAAAATAACCACAAGAAAAATCCTTTTTACACATCTTTTTTTCTTTATGTGTTATATTATATGTGGTTCTGAATCCACGCCTCACTGATCAATATAAATTCCATTTCAAAATGTAATATATTTCCAAAATCAAATATTACAAGTCATCCATTGCTATTCTGCCAAAATAACCCCCTGTTCAAGTGCAAAATTGATAATAAATTTCATAACAATCTTAATGCTTTGCACTAATAAACAGTAGTCATTGGGGAACTGTAAGCTTCTTTATACACGATCATGTAAAAGTACAAATTAAACTTGGAAATATAAACCAATACCTAGGCCTGAGAGCATGTCATATAATTGCCATTTGGTTGCAGTCTGTTTGCAAGGATGATAAAATATTAACTCATGAGAATAATAATATCTGATAAAACTCAAAATTATGATGTCTCTAGACTTCTTGTTGCACAAAATACTGTTTCATATCATAAGATTTGTATACTTCTCTTTGTTGATTCCTTTTGTGTGATTATACTTCTCTTGTCAATCATGCTTGTACAGCGCATAGAAAAAATTTGTTTATTATGCGCTCTACAAATATTGTATTATTATTATTTATTAAGAATATATCTGACAATATGGTATACTATCTCTCAAGCTAAACAAGGATGTATGAATTTGACAACTGAATTAATCGGCCTTGAATCAACCTTGAATTGTGTTTCTTACATATCAAGGAGAAGAGTGTGATAGGACAGATTTTTACCCAAACTCAATCCTATGTAATTTCACAAATATACAGTTGCATATTGTTATCTGCTGCCCTCTTTAGTTACAATCAAGTCAACATCTAACTCAGCCAGAAATAAGTACATAGGGAAATCATACAAGCGGCAGAAAAATTCACCTGTTTATCTCAATAACAACCAAAAAATCAACAATTAAAACAATTAAAATAATTGAATAGATAAATAGATATAATTAGGTACATGATGATTTTTCAGTTTACGCTTCCATTTTTTCTACCAACTTACTGTATTATAAAATGTCTCATCATATCCTTAACTTTGTTCTATATTCATCCAACCATTTCATGCAATAGTGTTTCATTTTTTTCTTTTAAATAGGTGAACTATTCTATATATATTAAGTGCATAAGAGCATTAATTATTAACAAGTATGCAATCTATAAATCAAAATTTAATTATTATAATCAAGCATGATTTAAATTATCACACTTTGCAATGCTATAGTCAAGGATCCATCCTTTAATCAAACTGTATTGTGTTTATTTTTCTAAATCCATGAATGCTGTAAATGAAATTGATAAGAAATCTTTCAGCCAGTGAGATCAGTGTTACCACTGTTAAGCATGTCTTCAATTTAAACGTTTTGAACAAATTCAAACAGACTGCCACTACAGAAATGAAAACCCAGATGTGAATCGTAATTAAACTTTCTCATCAAAACTTTTCAAAAATGCAAGACTGCTCTATCAGCCAATCCAAAATGAAATCTAATAATTTCTCACGGCCCTTAACTTTCAAACGCTAAGAATTGTGATGTCAACCTACAACACTATATCAGTAGCTACGATGGAGCTTTTATAATCAATTTGAAGCTACAAACCAAGTGTATAAATAATTACAAATTTATAATATCTCATTCAGTATCATCACATTATGAAATAAAACACACTATTTATCCTATTCTATTTTTTCAAACAAACTGCAGAATCTACACATGACATGTCTGACAGAATTAAGAATTCATGGAATTCAATTGTCAAATCAATCCATAATAACTTTTTGAAATACAACAAGATTTATACAACATGCCAAGCGATATGAGAACAGATGCACAGAATCGGTTAAGTACTATTTCAGAAAATGACAAAACATAACCAAAAGAAGAAAAAAAAAGTGCAAAGCTGTTTCTCTGTTACTTGACATTACGTATATTACACCCTGTTTTAGTGTGGTTTTAAATGTCACACTTTTTTTTATACATAAATGTTTAAATAAGACTTTGTTTGTGTCGACTAAACAGATGTTGCATGCCCAGGATCCTGCGTCTCTTCTACAAGGTTTTGCGAGGTGGATTCTTCTGCGCCGTTCACCGAGGCGTCTTCTGCAAGGTTCCGGGAGGAGGAGTTCGGGTCGTGAAGCTCCACGGTTGTCGTCACTGGAGGTAGAATTCCTACAAAGAAGAAAGAATTGAAAAGAATAGAAATGTAATTGAGGTCTAAATTTAATTGTACCTCTTATGTTCAGTACAACAAATATGAATAAAAAAAAAAACATGATATATAAAATAACCCCAAACCTTCCACCGATCATTTGAAAAAGGTCTCTACACCTCAACTTATCTTAAAATGACAAATCATTTCCTTCATATGTAACCCTTCCAGTCCCACAAGCCTTGTAAACAGTTTTCAAAACTGAAGTTCAAGAGTTGAATTTGGGCAATTTACTTTTGGCTTCACTTTTAGATTTTCCTTTATATATATCTTGATTATATACAGTATTTGGCAATAATGGTCATAGACTGACTGACTTGCCTTAATTAAATCGCAACAACAACAACAACCCCAGAACATGTTTCAAAATGTATGCATCTATTCCCTTTTCACAGGGAAAAATTTAAAAAATAACTCTCTTTAGTACCACGTCATAGTAGAAACTGGTACAGAACTGGTTACATATCCTGGATCTACCACTAGACTTCTCTGCCACCCTGTCATGTGTTAATGTAACCAACCGGCCCGTTTCCTTGTCAAGAACAGGGAGCTCTAGAGGTGCAGGAAGATCACTACTTCCTATTGCAAAAACATGGGCTCTTTGTCTGTGTTTATACACCTTGGCTTGCAGTGAATGGAAACATTGTTGTTGCAAAACATAACATTATGCTTCATGCAACACATCTAAATTGCATGTTTTAGGTTTAGTGGTGGTTATTTCACCTGACTGCTAAGAGAGCATAAATGCTTGTTAGTAAGAACCAGAAGACGGACAGCTTTAGGTCCTCTACGAGGGACCTGGTCATGAGGATTAATGCCTTACCAAAGGGCTAAAGCACATCGACTTGGTTTCAAACCCGCGTCGCCAAATCAAACACAACTGTGCACAAAGATGACCTATTAAGGACCATTATTCCTCCATAAGATGCCCCTTGTTAATCTCTTCGTAAGAGCAGTATCAATACTGCCAGAGCGGATTCTCTGGATAAATCGGACCATTTTGTCATTATAATGTAAAACTTTCATGAGACTTTCACAGAGGTAACCTTAGAGTGTTCCTAAAGGAGACACCATTTGTCAATCCATAATACCCTTTGAAAGCCAACAGGGATAATCTTAGGAGGACCACTGTTCCTCTACTTTTACCCCTTGTGAATCTCTGGAATCCTTTCAACCCCAACACTAGAGGGTTGCATGTTACCAGGGAAAATAATAAAAAATAACAATGGGTCCATTTTATAGCGCAGCGACTGTCTGAATATACTCTACTGCGCTTAATACAAAGTATCATATCATTATCCCGGCTGTAGCTGAGCTGCCATGATAAGGCGCTAAAGCATTCAAGGAATTTTTTTTCCAACCTGGTACCCATTTACTTCAGCTGAATGGAGAGTGGCAATTAAGATTATTGTATATTAAAAATTCTAGGCCACAAGGAATGAAAGTTTCTGGTTTCCCTTAAACACAGCTTTTTGTTGTTACTGTATCACCGGCCTCCTCCAAGAAATGATCCACTCCTGGTTTAAAATGGCTAAAATGTCAGGTATTCTAAAATTCCTTCAATGCAGATATTGACAGTTACATTACAACACAAACCTTCTGAACTAGATGATCCATTCCGGCTCTCCACCGATTCGTTGCCGTCAGAATGGCGGTCGTGCTCGACAGCTACCATCCGCACATAGCGCCCTCCTGTGGTCGTACAATTGCTGAGAAGTGTCCGCACTGGCTCCACGTGCTGCCCGCTCCCGGCTTCATTGCTATCGTCCAAACCTGAGCCAAACGCGATCTGCCCTACTTCCAAGATGTAATGAGCCTCTTCAGTGGGTGCTGCTGGCATCTAGGATTAATAAGACAACAAGAAATAGTAAAGGAAAATGACTTTTTAAATGATTCATCAAAACTATGACTTGATGACTGACAATAGTAAAATCATTCATCAAAATTATGGCTTGATAACAATTGTTTAATGATTCTGCAAATTATTAGCCTGTGATGGAGATAACAGAAAGACTTATGAGATAGCCTATGAGACTTTAAGCTCATTACAAAAATATGATTTGACCAACAATATTGAAATAATGGGTGTTTTGCATCAATTAATATGTAAACAAAAGCTGATAGATCAGAGAATTAGAAAAAGCTATTAAACATTCACAAAATTACTGGTTTAGATTAAAGTATACCCGTAGTATTAGTACAAGTTTACTTCATTACATTTTTTCAAGTTTTAAAAATGATAACCTGGTAGCCTTTTATATTGATCGCGCAAACCAAAAATATATGTTAAAAGCTACCTCAAAATGAACAGTTTCTTATTTGAAATGTTACTATTCACGTGGGTGCCTTTTTGTTTCCTCTACAGTTAATGACAAACACCTACATTATACAATAATAAAACATACATTATTAATGTTGATGATTCCTTTAAATTTAATCCAAATCCAGATATTCGTGAAAAAAATATATACGAAATCTACTTCTCACAAGAAATTAGAACAATTACATACACTGGTGTCGTCTAAAAATACTTTCAAAACAATGCTACTATTTCCCTTTAAACAACAAACTTCAGCTGTCATGTTTTTTAAAACAATAAAATTGGCCCATCCTTTTCCTTTTGTTCTTCCCTCTGCCCTGATACCTTAGAGCCTCGTTACTTAACAGACTAAGTACAAGTTCAAGGTAAGCAGCAGTATAGTCTTCAACTTGAGGAATCTTTTGGGCATTTTTTTTAAAACAAAAAGTTGAAGAAGTTGAATGATAAAATACACACAAGTTTCACTGCAGCAGTTTTTATAGGTGTTTTTTGCAAGTCAAGTATGAACAGGAATTTCTATTCAGTGGACTGTACGTTGAAGAAGTCATTCAGAACTATATATTTTAAGGTAGTTTACTGCATTGTGTCTGAAAGAGCCTTTAATAGAGAAGATCTAGACTACAATATGTTGAAGAAGTCATTCAGAACTATATATTTTAAGGTAGTTTACTGCATTGTGTCTGAAAGAGGCTTTAATAGAGAAGATCTAGACTACAATATGTTGAAGAAGTCATTCAGAACTATATATTTTAAGGTAGTTTACTGCATTGTGTCTGAAAGCGGCTCTGTCAGAGAAGATCTAAACTATAGTATGTTGAAGAATTCATGTACATTAACATGTTTAAAGGTTGACACACGTCACACAACCAATTTGTTAACAAGGTTCATTTTGTTATATATCTGAACAAGGCTTTATTGGAGCAGTTCTAGACTACACCATGTTGGAAAAAGCCATTTCCTTTCTGCCCATCGATGTTGGCTCTGGTTCAACATGAACTTTGGGAATGTATTGCCTTCCCTTCAAATGCACTCTCCGTCCATGAAAACTGATACAGCAAGCAAAGGTACATGGACTAGGAGCTGAAAATTAATTGGTGTGGAACCTATCTGTTACATATGATAACAATTATAAAATGTTGTAAAAAGTTTGAGAGACTTTGCCTCATATGACTGCCAGTAAACATAATCTGTTGACTTTAGATACTGATCGTTTAAGATTAAAAACGCAGCATTCTTCAATTTATTGAGTGTTATTCATACCAGAAGTCAGAAGTCAAATATTTTTGTTTACTTTGCTTGACCTTTATACTACTGATAAACGTTAGACAAATTGATTTTAGGATAATGGAGTCTTATGAAAACTTAACCAAATGGCTAATATTTAGTTGATTTTATGTGTCGCCGTGTTACTTTTGGCATTGTGACAGGACAAGGGATTTGGGTGTATTTTATCCCAGTTGATAGTTTCAATTATCATATCAGTGCACACAGTCCACCTCAATGAGAAACAGGCTAGATAGTTGCTATTTTACATAACATTAAACTTTTGTATCCTATCATATCTATTCATACACCGGGGTTGAGAGAGGCACATTAGATAAAGTGCCTTGCATATGGACATTAGTAGTAGGCAGGACTTGATTTCTGCATCTCACCTGTCCAATGTTGAAACAAAACAAAAATTGGCTATAACACTTCTACTTATGAGAAAGGTCAATTCTTTCATTAGCCTACATGGTAAAACTCAAAGCATACATCATAATACTTCACTGGGGTCGTAACTGTATATCACCCCCCCCCCCCCCCCCAGATTCTAAATGAAAATTATTCTGTTTTTAGTGTTACATTATGTATATTAGATTATAATTTTGTACTTTCAACTATCAAGCCTTTATAAATGATTTTATTTCCAATATGTCTTAAATTATTTATGTGTTTTTATACCACCCTCTGACCAAAGTTCACTACAATACTATACCAATCACACATTCTTTCTTTGTAACATATCAACCTAAATTAACAATACGGTTGTAAATAAAGAGATGTCTGGCAAAACTATGTTTTCCATACACTGTTTTCCATTGGCCTTCTTTTCTTCTTAGAAAAATACTCGACCTACATAGACCTTACTACTTGACACAATAGGAGTTTTTGTTAATTAAATGAGTGAAAATTTCTCAGACACTTTTCTTCAGCTTCATCATTCTCAGCTCCTGTATGTTTTCTCTGTACTTCCCTTTGTTAAAATACGAACAAAGACATGCAATCCAGATAAATTGATCTGTTTGACAAGAGGCTGGATTATACTGTAACACGTTTTTGCCAATGAGATAAATTTTCACCTCCACATTGAAATGAACAGCAGAATATTACTGTCAAACAGGACCAAATAACTAAAATGTGAAATGGGATACAAGTGAAAGTTGGAAGAAGAAAAAATGAACAGATAAAAAGTATTTGATTTATGAATTTGTGAAGGTTAAGCTCAGCAAATAAGGAGTTAACAGATACTTTTAATGCAAGGGAAAGCCCTAAACTCTAAAGAAATACAGAAGTGAAAGAAAGACTTTATTTGAATATAAGAGGCACACATTTTGATAAAGACAAAAAGTGACAGTTTCAAGAAAAATTGCAGATTTCTGAAATTTATACACAGGGCTTCAAATTTGTATTCACAAAGACACTATTTAACTACTGGTTTAATAGTGCCTTGGAATGTAATAATTTTTTTACGATATCACATAAATTATTTGGTGCACATTTATGGATGTCATTATCGACTGCTTTTCAAGTTGAAAGACATTCACACATAAATGTGGCCAACTGCCATCTCTAAATTTACGAACTGTCATCAATGACTTAAATATGAAAAGCAGACAATTACAGGCTATGCAGATAAGATAATTTTGTTCATAGGCCAATGCCATTGTCATAAATCAGGAGGTGAAGGCGAGTGCAGGGCATTCCGCAGCAGTTGGAGAGGATGAGGGGCAAGTATCGATTAGTCTGCAAGCACAGACCCTAATTTGACAATTTACTACATGTATATAATTATATATGTCTAGTTGTCTACAGTATGTATTTTATTATTATAAACTGTATCTTACTTTGTTTTAAATCTTTCTGTATTGTATTGTAAATATGTTGTGTTCTCATACCCCTGAAGTGGGTCGATAGAGTCAAATAAAATCTAAATCTTCACTACGATTTCTTAAAGCCTTGGGGAGAGCCTAGAAATGTCTCTGGCTGTGTCTCATTTTGACACTTTAACACAATTTCATAAAGCCTTGAGTAGAGATTAGACAAGTCAGTTTCTGGCTGTGTCAGGAGAGGCTAAAGTACAGGGCCTATTGTAGTCTCTTGGCGCAGACACTAGGCCTGTTTTCATCAGACCGAGTTTGCCAAATAACCCGCTATTTTCAGACTCGAGATATTATCCCGAAGCTCAAAATTGCGTCCTCACCAGACCGATACGCTCATCACAAATTAGCTTGGACTGGCGCAAATTAGCCTCCTATTTCCAAATAGCGGGATATTTTGGAAACAAGGCCAACATTTCTCAGGATATTTTCTCAATCAAATATCCTGCTAATTGCAACTGCGGGCTGATCGGGGTAGTTAAATAGCGGGGTAGTTAAATAGCGGGTTATTTGGCAAACTCGAGCTGATGAGGACAGGCCTATTGTTACCCACAACAACGGACAAGGGTTTGTGCCTACAAACTACATGTAGTAGGTCCATGCTCAGAGGCTCAAAGTATTGATAGCGTTTAATGCCGAGACACACAGCTGATAAGCATGGGCAAATTGGCAACTCACTGGGATGCAGGGGTCAATGTGATAGAGGGATTAATTACTATCCACTCTACAAGTTTGATGTGGATAGCTAGGAGCCTGGTGCGGCTGTCCTTGCTTGTCTAAAGTGTAAAGATAGCATGTTGCTATTCATAGGAATGACATGATATCGTTGTCGATGGCTGCTTTGAAAATCATAGGCCCTGTTCACACAAACAAAAAAGAGGGTGATTATAATCATTATTCAAATATATGTCCACTCACAGATGGGGTTTTTAAAAAAAAGAACACTCGATCCTAAAGTCCTTGATTGTAGACTGCTCCACTAACCTTTGTTATAGAAAATGCATATGGCAAATATGCCCACATAACCAACTTGAATCCCTTGATCTAGATAGAATAATGGTTTTTATTGATTACAACAACAAGAACATCACGGCATCAAAGCCCGATTGCGATGATATTACAATGACAGAGTGCATACAAAGAGGTGATCAGCATTGACAAAAATAACTAATAACCAATTACAATCAACAATTTACAGTAGTTATAGGGACTAATTGTAATATAGTAGTAATAGAAACTAACTAATTGGTACATGTACTTTCTCACTGTTCATACGCAAAAAAAAAGTGTGATCATGGCTAAAAGCTTGTCTTACTGGTTGATCCAAGTGTGAATCACCCTACTGTAAAGTAAGTACCCTGCTTGTTTGAAGCCAATAAA